ATCACAAAAGACAATGAATAATTACTGAAAATACAATAAATATTAATTTTAGTACATATATAATAACTATAGACTAAGATTTTGAAATTATTATTAATAAAAATTAATTTTTTGAAAGTTATTTTCTAGAATTGTTAATTAATACAATGGAAATTAGTTTACAATATTATTTAATTATTTAAATAATATCATTATTAAAAAATTTTAAAATATTAATTATTTATTAAATTTAATAATCCATAAAACTATAATTTATACTATTATTACATAATTTCCTTATTTATTTTGTAAAATATTTAATTATTGTTAAATTGAATGTTAGGTATCCTATTATTTTTTAAATTTATTGTATAATTTCATTATTTTAACTATTTAAAATTTAGTTATGTCAAATATTTAAAATATTTCGTTATTTGAATTTTATTTATTTTAGAATTATTACATAATGTTAAATATTTTTTTTATATAATTATTTAGATTTTTTTAATATTTTGTTATTTAAGATATTTAGTTATTGAAAATTTTAAATAATATTTTATTTTTTAATGTTAAATTTCTTTCATTTGAATAACCTTTAAAAATATAAAATTATAATTTATATTGTTAGTACGCAATTTTGTGATGAATTTTGTAAAAATATAAAATTATTAATAATATGAATATTATTAAATCCATTATAATTATTTTTTATGTTTTGATAATTTTTTTTGAAGTTACTATAATTTTATTATAATATTTAAATAATTCTTTTTTGTTAATTCAAACTTTCTTTAGATAGACATAGATAAAAAGTAGGGGAGGGGATAAATATGATTTAAAGATAATTTAGGAGAAAGTGGAGGATGGTGATGCCACTTGGCTAGATATTAGAAAAGAAAATCCCTTTTTTTTTATCTATTGCTGGTAGAGGTAATTTATCCTATATTGTTTCCTTATTGGTTTAATGGACAATTATGTGGAATTAAAAAAATAAAAAATTCAAAAAAATGGAAAAATTAGAAAGAGGGGTTGGAGCAAGGAGAGGCATGGTGACGTGGATAACCTTGCTTTATATATAGATAGTTATGATGCATATTTATTTGAGCCATCCTTAAACCTAATTGGAAATTTTCCCTTCATAAGAGTTGTTGTATTGTTCCCAAACTTCATTTTCAAAATGGATTGACTTAGCTCCAACTCCAAGAATATCTTCCATACATATGGAGTTACTACAACTCGTATCCAATAACCACTACTTATTTTTGTTATCTTTCTCTTCCACATTACTAGCAAGTAAGAGGGTCTCAGAATCATCATTATTTTGAGCAAATTTTGCATGTAAACCCTTTTCATTTGATTTTCTATATCTATAATTCTATATTTATACTTGTAATGACCATATTTTTGCAATTATAGCATTGAATCTTTTGTTTGTCTAGCTCAGATTTCTACTTTCCTTTTCCCTTGTTTTTGTAATGCTAGGTTCTCTGACTCCCACCAACTTCTTCTTGAGATATTTCCTTTTCCTTTTTCTGGATCAACTGAACTTGGAGAGCTTTCTTCTATTACCTTTTCTAGCTTCTCATTTGAGTCTTTGTTCATGGGCTTGAAAGGAAGTAATCCAATAACTCAACAACTCTCATCGTGTTGAGGCCCTTTGACTCTTCAATGGCTATCACCACATGCTCAACCGCATCATCACCAGGGTCGGGAGAATTTTCTCCATAATTTGAAGATTTGTAATTTTTTTCTCCATTAATTAGTTTTCATTAACAATAGTCAATATACGATTAAAATAATTACCAATTGTCTTCGATTTCTCCATTTGGAGAAGCTCAAATTGCCGTCGTAAGGTCTACAACCTTACTTTTTGCATCTTCTCTACTCCTTTTTAAGACTTCATCATAATATCTCAAGCCTCTTTTCTTGTTGGATGGGAAACTTTTTTCAAAACAAATTAAAAGATATAAAATAAAGCCTTGTTATTCTTTTTATGATTTTCCCGTAATGTCTCTTTTTGTGTCTAGCTAGGTTAGATTTGATTGATTTGTTAGTTTTATATACCCTTAGGTTATGTTTGGTTTGAAGGAGTAGGGAAAGGCAAGGGAACCTATACAAGATTTGTAAAGATTTCCTTTCTTTTCCCTTCCTTTCTCTATTTTTTCCCTTCAAACCAAACACAGCCTTAGTAGACAATTTCCTTAACTCATGAAGTCATGATACTTGAACACGACTTACATATTGACCCCCCAATAATCAAAATTCTTCCCATCGAACTTTGGTAACTGGGGAAGGAACATGCCATTGTCCATTGACTGATGCCATCAATCTTCCACAGGGTTTTGGCTTTGATACCCAATGTTCGCATCAAGAAAACCCAGCAATCAAATCTCTAATGTGTTTAAAACACACAAATTTCAAGCACAAGAATAATAGAGGAAATGATAGTGATACCTTTTTGTTTATATGACACACCACCTGACTGTTGTAATTTAAGAAAATGATAGAATATCTTTTTCGCCTGAAATTCCATTTGCGACAGTTGAAATTGATTGAGAACCAAGTCACCGACCATTGTACTAGTAGTGAAATGAAGAGAGCATCATCAGATGAGGTTCGATTTCTCTATAGGCTATAGCCGAAGCATATACAAAGGAGCGATAGCTGATAGGCCCCCTCCAAAGGAGGAAGTTGAATGGGTGCTGCTTCAGAACCACCCCATCTTCACCACAGGCAGCTCTAGCGTTGCATGTTCCTTCGCATCTCGAACGCCTCCTGCGAATCTCATATCTTGGGATAGAGTTTCCCCAGAGGTGTAAATTGGACCTTACCGCCCACGGCCTGGCATGATTTTGAGCTGGCCCGGCACGATGGACTACATGACGTGTCAGGCATGGCATGATCAAATGGGCTGTGCCGGGTTTGGGGTTTCAAGTCCATGGGCCAGTACGTTCGGCCATGCCGCCTGAGACTTGTGAGCCGAGGTGGCCATATATAATTTTAAGATCTTTTTTAATTTTTGTCTTTTTTTTTCAATTTATGTTAAAATTTTCATTACTTTTTTTAAAATTTTTAAAAAACATGGTTTAACCCGGCCTATCCCAAGACTTGGCTTGCGGAATGGCACGAGCCCATGCAGATTCGGGCCGTGGGTTGGACTGAGCTGACCCCCAAAGTATCCCAGGGGAGGGCATGACCCGACTCGGCCGGTGGACCATGCCGTGCTGGCCCAGAACGACCTGATTGTCTCTCCGTTGGGCAATGCATCCATTGTCTCTTCGTTCATTTGGGCAAGAATGTAATTCAATTACAAAGGAAGAGAGAAAACAGGCTTCCTAGACAAGAGAGAGAAAGATAGAAAGGAAAGACACGTCTCAATCCATGAAAGAGTTTTTAAGAAGGGAAAAAAATGAGTTCAGTTGTAGGAAAGTGTATTTAAATGAAATAAAAAATCAAAAACAAAATGATTAATCATAAAAAAAGCATGGGGAGTGGGATCCCCATGGGGACATAGATGGGGATAACCTTGTCCCCACCAGTAGGGATGAGGATATGGATTTTTGCAAGGACAGAGAGAGGGAATGGCTCCTCGTCCTCGCCCCTCCCCCATTCCTAACAATTATCCATCATCACCCTATTTCTTTGGAAAATTAGCAAAACAAAAATAAAATCAATAACAATAATAAAAAAAAAAATTGAGAAAATAATCAATAAATGGCACCGCCACAAAGGGTATTAATTAGAATGGTTATGGGTCTAATTTTTGTTAGTAAATTGTTTCTAAATAAATAAATAATTGAGTAAATCAAATAATGCACAAGCAGGAATGACGAATCTTCTGGTTTCAAATCCTTCTCTCTGAGTTGGGCAGAGATATCCACAAACAATGCACAGTCCTCTTGAAATCTCCACTCTCACATCCACTGTTCTTTTGAAATCGAACTCAATGCATGGTTTAAGCTAAATGGAGGAAGAAAGCTATGGCATCCAGATTCAAGGAAAGGAAGATTTTTCATGGAGAGTTATTCGTCGATTACGTTTCACGAACCCCTCCTTTGGCGCAATATAGCCGTTTTGGCGGGACCTGTTTCATTAATCAATTAGGTTATTATTTTCTTTTTTGTTAAATAATAACCGCCGGGACCCAATTTGACCGCCGGCCCGCAATCACTGAGTGAGCGAGCAAATTTGTTGTTCGATTTTGCTGGGATTTGCTGGCATGGGACGCGACCGCCGGCTAATAGGAAATTTCTTGTAGTGCAATTGCTTTACATGGTCCTCTTGTCCGGTTTTCAAAAGACCGTGGCTTGTACTGATGATGTGATGCTATTAATGAATGAAATTGCCGTTTGGCTTCAAAAAATATAAAAAGAAACTATACTAGATCGAGTATGTTTAAGTAATTTACTTTTTTTAAGTATTTATTAATTCCACCATGATATGGGAAAAACAATTGACAAATTCATAGGTGGGTTTTGATTGGTCAATACTCTTTTCTGCATCATAGATTTTGAAAAAATTTTAATTAATTTATCCAAAAAAAATTATTGTAATAGAATTCAAAAAAAGAATGAATTAATTAATGTCACACTTTGTTTGTTGAATTTGAATCAATAATACTGTACATTAGTATGATAATTTATGACATCTGATAGTTGTTCATCAATTAGATAATTTATTGAATTTTTCTTAGCCACACCATATATATATATATATATATATATATATATATATAAACAAAATACGGTGCCCCCACTATGGGCTGTCCGAACTCGGAAGATAACAAAGCATCTAGCAATGGATGAATGCGCTGCTTTGCTTTATTCGCCAACCAGAAAGAAATGTTTAAGAGAAGCTAAAAAATAATTACAGGTATAACACACACTAGTCAATACACATGCAAAAACTTAATTTCTAAGCGCGCGTCTCGACTGGATATTATTAGTGATAAAGAAGGACGTCCCACTCCCACCAACATGTCCAACTTGCTGGTAAAGTGGGACCAAATATGCCATGCACCGTCAGATGCTTTCCATCACATCATCCATCAATTGCTGCAATGAAGCGAATGAACATCCACCGTCCGTCTCAGCCTTCCTGCTTTTCTCTTTCATCTCTCCAACCCTTTCTCTCACTACGTTGTTACTATCCATTACTGATACTATTCCTCTCTCTACGTCCTCAGCTGTCACCACATCCCCACCGTCCGTCTCCGTCCTTTTCAAACAGCCCACATCCACCGCCAATCCCATCTCCTTAACCAGCACAGACGCATTGACCTTCTGCTCTGCGTAAACCGGCCATGCAAGCATCGCTACACCAAACCATAAGCTCTCGAGAGTTGAGTTCCAGCCGCAGTGAGAAACGAAGTCCCCAGTGGCCCTATGCCCCAAGATCTCCACTTGTGGAGCCCACCCACACACTAGTCCTCTCCCTGCCGTCCGATCTAAGAAACCATCGGGCAGAACCTCTTCTACTTCTAGATTGGTGTAATCACTCACAGTGCCGGCTTCAGTCTCCGCCGGCCGACGCACTGACCACAAGAAGCCGTGCCCACTCCTCTCCAGCCCAACTGCTATCTCCTTCATTTGAGCTTCATTGAACGCCCCCAGGCTTCCAAAGCACAGAAACACGACAGATGATGAAGGCTGATTATCAAGCCATTTCATTATACTGCCGTTCTTGGTCTGCTGCAACTATTTTAATTTTAAATAATAAATATATATCTAAAAATATATATATATTCTGAAGGAAATATATATCTGATATATTTGTATATATGGTTTGGTTTTAAATATATATTTCCAGAAAATATATTCTAAAATATTATATATAGTATTAGCACTTTGACTTCATGTACATTGTGCAAGTTTGGAGTTAGTTGAAACACAAACCGACCCAAACTGATTCAAACCGACCAGGTCGGTTTTACTTAATAGAGGATCGGTTTTGGTTTGGTCTATAGGTAACCCGACCAGGTTGGGTCGGTCGAAAAAACAATACTAAACCGACCCAACCCGACCCGTGAACAGCCCTAATAACATGCATATAAACTTGTATTTTATATATTATATAATATAAAATATTACATATAGTATAAATTATATATGTCATGTTATAATATTTATGTATAAAATATATAATATAATATAAAAATAACACGCATACATATGTATACATTATACACAAAATGTATAAGTTTAAATATATGTGGGTTGGGCTGGGCCCAGGCCAGGCTTGAAGTATTAAGCCCAAGCCTGGCCCTAAAATTTGCGGGCCTAATGTGGGTCTGGGCCTGGGCCAAGCCTAAACACAAAACCCAAGCCCAAGCCTAGAATTTCCAGGCTGGGCTGAAATGATCACCCTACTCCTCATCCTATTGCCGTTTAATAAAACATCTTGTTAGTTTGCATCTTACATAATAGTTCTCTATTGTTGTACCAAGAAGGCAAGAACTATTATTGGATTCCAGCATATTTGCTTTGTTAATGTTTCTCCTCATGAGTAAACAATTTTTCACTTTTCTTTCTTACTAGTGAAGTGATGTATGCTGCCTACAAACAGATAAAAGAGGAACTTTTATCTGAGTTGTGGGTATTAGGGGTCGATGAGGATGATGAGGAGCCCCTATTTCATACATACAGTAGTAGATTATTAAACTTGGGGAGTTGATGAGAACTCCATCAACCTTCTATTTCTTTTCTATTTTAATTTCTATAACCAAATATAACTTAATTAATCAATGAAATTAGGGAAGCTTGTAAGACAAATTCTACACATTTCTATCACCTGAAAAAGTTCAGCCTAATCCATGGGTAATGGAGATTTGCTTTCCATTCCAAATTTTTTGTTTCTTTTATTAAAAGAAGATCGATACTTGGAATTTATGAAATTAATTTTGCTATGTGGAGGAATCCCATTATCATTTCAACCATCCAGATATTGTATATCAACAATGTCTTCATTCTTCTCGAGTTGAAGATTATTCACTGATGGAGGTGGATTGGGCGCCTAATTGAAAAGAAAAAAGAAATTTGGAGTCCGACAGGCATTAAGTCTAAACTCCATCAGATTGAAATGATAAATGGGACTGATGATGCGTGATCTGGTACTCCCTGTTGGTGGATAGATTAAATGTCGGATTGAGTAGGTCGCTTGGTCGAGTTGCAAGAAAGAAATATCATAGTGCCTGAGTTGCTTTACCAGGGGTGGGCACTCTGATGCTTAAGTTAGCGAACTTGAGATGTGATTGCAAGGATGTAAGAGAGCTAAATCGCGTGTATCTTCTGAGGTTGGGGGTGAGACCCTTATATAGGCAGGTTGTCATGAGCCTCACGAAACATGTTCGAGATCTCCGGCCCGTCTGGTCCAAAGGTGGTTTCATACATGGAGGTGGACTCTTTCTAAGCGGGTAGTTCTTATCCAATCGGGGTGATAACCGACTCTTCCGATGTAGTATCGTGATCCCGGGAAAGTCGGAGACAATAACCCACTTTAAGGAGGAGGTTGCTTGACAGGCTGCTAGTTGAACTCAGGTTAGGTTGACAGAAGCAGGTCACCTCTCATGCCAACCTGATGTCTTGTTGGGGCCAAGATAGATCGGGGGAAGTTGGTTGCCTCTTACACCGACCTAAGGTCTCGCTTAGTTGTTCGTAATTCTGTCTACCGAGGTTGCTGATGCAGTTGTGAAGTGTATGAAATGATTTGCTTAAGTGGTGCCGAGGTGTCACCCAACTGTTTTGCAATGCCACGTGTCATGATGTCATTAGAGGACCAAGTTACCCCTCATCAGGGACCAATGACGTGTTCAATTACTATTTGTGGGGGACAAAAACATTTTTGTCCCTAGGGGACATGTGAGCTCTAGGTCCTGCATAACTTCCTACATTCCCGATTGTAGGGCAACATGTTAGCATTGCATCATGTGTAGATTTCCCATGTGTCAGTAGAATTAACCGACATTTCAAACATCTCAAACATCTTTATCTTATTTTTAATTTATGAAAAATTATAATTTAACTTAGATGAAATAAAAAAATAGAGAAATTCTTGGGAATTTCTGAAAATAGAGTTTCTTCTTCCTTCTTTCGCTCAAAGCTTTCCACCACTAAACTAAGCACCAACGGACCACCGATGAAACACATTTGAGACAAACAATAAAGTTATTCTATTTGACCTTTTTCTCTTGATTCCGTTAAACAAATAAGCAATGATAATCTTAGAATATAAAGCTGCCTTATATCTTGAATTTATCATATAGAAGGTGAGGCATATGAGAGTTAGGGTTGGATTCTGGATGCGGAAGTGAGACATGTGTTGTCTTGTCAAACCAAGCTACACCAATGGTAGAGTTGAACCGTGCCGTAGAAATATGCATTGTTTGAATCTGTATATTTTGTACAACAAATGTAGAAATCTGTGACTGGTTATAGATCCCTCTCTATTCTGAGATTTTCGTTGCTATTCTAATTAATGAAATTCACAGAAAGGCCAAAATGAGTTCCTATATTGATTATCTCAGGTGTGCAGTTCTCGGTCGATGCTCAGGCATGTAGTTCTCCATCCATACGCTATCAGTGTTCAAGCATGTTGTTTGGTGGAGAAAAGCCTTGAGCATTAAGAAGAAATAGTGTCAAAGAAGGTTAGAAACCCCTTTCTTTTCTAGTAGGCGTAAAAACCCTTCTCTTATCCATTTATCCCTATTTTTATTTCATTTAAAATTTCATGTAATTTTTCTTATCTTAAAAATAAGATGCACGGACGTTTCAAACATCTGTTAAGTCTACTCGCACATGGAAAATCCGTATGTGATGCTAATGCTGACATGGCGCCCTACAACAGGGAGTGCAGGAAGCGAGTTCACATCTCCGAGTTCAAATCAGCCCCCCCACAACGTCTCACAACACATCCCCGCCATGTATTGAGAACATCTCCCGATAATGACATCATCATTTCTGGGATTATCATAGGGAGATGTTCCCAATACATGGAAAGGATGTGTTGTGGGACGTTGTGGGGGGCTGATTTGGTCTCCACATCTCCGCCCCACAACGTCCCACAGCACATCCCCGTTTGGGAACATCTCCCGATGATAGTACCACTCTCGATGATGTCATCGTCAGGAGATGTTCCCAATACACAATAGGGATGTTGTGGAACGTTGTGGGGCAGCCCCTTGTGGGATAGAGATCTCACAGGACAACATGTGTAAGAGATCCAAACTCATAAGCGGATGCTTGCCTTTCTATATACATGATAGAATAAAAGTTGAATCCCAAATAATTTATGGCTTCTAGTAGATAAGGGCAACTTGTTGCCCTGAATATCAATAAAAAGTTATATTTTATAAAATAATTAAAATAAGGTAACTTTTTTAGAAAAATATCAAAAAAAGACATTAATACTATTCATCGTCTTCCTCTTGTAATATAGGGCTTCTAGTAGATAAGGGCAACTTTTTTGCCCAAAAGTTATATTTTTATAAATAATTAAAGTAGGGTAACTTTTTTAGAAAAATATCAAAAAAGGGCATTAATACTGTTCATCGTCTTCCTCTGTTGCTCTCTCATGAGGAAGACGATGGAATGATATTTTTGCCCTGAATAAGGGCAGTGGTTGAAGGTTGTTGTAGCGGTTGAAGGTTTTCTTGCAGAGGTGACACGAAAAATAGGTGTAGCCAATGAGTATCTGGACGGGAGTCGGTATCCAATACTGGGTACCCACACCTACAACAATATTTCTGTCTCCCACCATATCGTTTGGTTTCGTGTACGTGGAGGAACTCAAACTATTAGGCAGCCCAATGTGTAAGTGTAACGCAACGGTGATGCCATTCCCGTCTTCATTGCCAGCCGTCTCATGATTTTCATCTACCGCTAGTGTGGCCGGCCGAAGCAAGTAGCTGAGTAATGGTAGAGGCTTCGCAAAGTTTTGGGTTGTATTATTTGTGTCTAGTCAGAGAACACAAGACTCATTATCCTTAGCAAAAGAGTTAGCCACGAGATTTGAGTCATCATGACAATCTACAAAAGATTCCATGTTTAATATTTTAATTCTGATCTGATGTATCTCTATCTACACTAGTCTTCACAGACTACACTTGTCTTGAAATCTTGACATATATATGTTTGCATAAATTAAAGATCACAGTGAAAGTACAAGAAAAATTGCAGTGTTTCAATATTATTACAGAGCCCTCAAACAAATACAAGATCAACGACCCACTGCTCTCAAACGAATTGGGATTGCTGTAAAATATTTTCTTGGGTGAAAAAAGAAAAGGAAGACGATGAACACAAAGCCATTGCCCTTATTCAGGGCAAAAATATCATTCCATCATCTTCCTCTTGAGAGAGCAGCAGAGGGAGACGATGAACAATATTAATGCCCTTTTTTGATATTTTTCTAAAAAAGTTACCCTATTTTAATTATTTTATAAAAATATTACTTTTTATTAATATTCAGGGAAAAAGTTGCCCTTATCTGCTAGAAACCCTTACATGCACACAATTAAATTTGGAATTAGACATTGCACACGTGCCTACTGATGGGCTACTATCAACAAATTTGGAAATTAATATTGATCGTTTGGTCGTTTAGAGAAGTCCAATGTTTTCAAACTACTGTTGATCTAGACGGTTAGATCGTTCAGACCAGGAACTGTCCAGGCAATTGGTTTCGTTTTACCTTAAACCTAGTCCCCGGCTAAAAGCCGTACGTTGAATTAGTCAATGACCCATTGACCCAAGCAGTCAAATCGTCAACCCATTCGACCTGTGTAACGGTTTTGGCCATTTTTTATTTTAATTATTTTTTTTATCAAAATGGCTATTCGTTCGAACCGGATAGTCGAACCATCGACCCAGAAATCAATGGCTAGAACGGTTTGAGTTTTGGGCCGATTTTTAAAACATTGGAGAAGTCTCTAATTTAGATGAGTTCTATGGGACTAGACATAAAAAACTTAAGCCTCTTTTTAATGCTCATTCAACGATCATTATTTTTCCTAAATTTCCCTTGACCCCTTTAAAATAAAATATAAGGGTGCAAGTCGGGTGGGCTAGGCCGGGTTTAAGCTCAACCCAAGCCCAACCCTAAGAATTGGGCCTAAGGCCCAAGCTTGAGGTCAAGCCCAAACTTTCTAACCCAGGGAACTAAAAGTTGATGCACTTGGATTGCACTCAGGCCCAGAATGGGTTTGGGTTGGTCAATCGATCCACATTAGGGATGGTAATTTCCGTCATCTCTATTGAGTACCCAACCTCCCCGACCCAATGGGGTCGGGGATGGGGAGCAAAATCCTTGCCACGTCCCGACCCAATGTTGGCCTGTGATGTGATTTTCTCTCATGCCTTTCGGGAAGAAAATCAGGCAGCTGATTAGTTGGTTGGTGAAACAAGCTCTCAACTCATATTCTCCTGTCAGGATACCCTGGACTTAGCTCACCTTTATTCTAAAAAAAAATGGGAGAATGAAAGTTCAGCATAGGGTCGTGCCAACTCGGAATTGATGGGGTTTTTGACATTTTGAATGTTCATTGGGCCTCTCCGTACTTTTCCAAAAAAGATACCTCAAGAGTACCTAATTCTAGGGGACAGGATCTCTGCAAGCAAAAGCTCTGACACCCTCTGAAACCACGGGCACCCCCAGCTGCACATTGGGAGCATCTCCCTGTGAATGTGAATTCAACATACATATACGGAAGATATTCCCGTTATACGGCTGGATCCAAGAGAGCAAGATTTTTGCTTGCAGGAGATCTGGCCTCAGAATTCCCATGCTTTCTGGATATACCATGCATGGTCATGGTAAGGAAGGTATTGACCTCTTCCTGTCCGTTCATGTCGGATCTGTTGACTTAAACAAAGAGTATTTTGGTTTGATGTGCCATTATAACATTGAAGCAACACTCAAACATATACGAAGCTTATGGCCTAGTGAAGAAAATGCCTGTGGAACCTGATACAATCATACAAAGACAAAGCTCAGTGGTGACCATCCAAGCACATCCAATTTGTATGAATGAACTATGGATATTAATATGAGAAAATGGAAACCAAGTGGGCTACTTGCCGAGTAACATGTCTAGGAGTTTTGTTGGCCCTCCCAAAATTTTAGTACATTTCTAGTGACTCAAGAACCCTGCGAGCTTGGATATATAGAGCTGTCTGCCTCTGATCTGGATCAAGGGTTGACCCAAACTGACTTGCTGCCCATATCAATGATGCAGTTTTCTCGCCCAGAAGTCGTCTTATATCTTCATGTATTGTCAACATGGGAGGCCTTTCCCTACCATTTACATGTCCAATGAGCAGCAGCAAGAATTCTCCACATTTGATTCTACAAAAACCATAACTGTTTATCAGTACTGTTGAGATTGAAAGCAACAAAGAAGCGCCTAGCGTTCTTTACAGTTGCCAATTGATTTATGGCAAGGCTTGGATTATAATTAACCATATAGTAAAGTTGGACAAAAGCGATTTGCTATTGATACAGGTTACTAAAATTCTTCAAATAGGTCTTTTAACCAATCTCAGTTCGAAGGCAGCACCTAGCTCTTGCAATCTGGTAGGCATAGCTGTAAGCATTATTGTTCGAGTACCCCACCATATTCAATGATGCACTATCATCTTATTATTTGAATTATTTTTCAAGGCTCCAAACATTGCACCATAAATTTAATTTTCAGAGTTTGCCAAGGAAGGCAACACTAATTTCAAATCTTGAGCAAGGCAGGTTATCAAAGTGACCTTGTGATTTTATGGGATAAGGTCTTCCAATCAGGTGAGTTATGGTTTTATGTAAGGTATCCTAAACAAACCCCACATATTTCAGCTACGCAGAGGAATTCTGTAGCCAATCCAGACAGTGCATTGAATGAGGGGATCCTCCGGATCAGCCAGATGTTCACTCCTCCAGTCCACCCCAGTCCTATACCCCACATCTTGTATTAACTTTACTTTGATATAAGCAGTCAAAAGTTTCAACTTAATTAAATTAATGCTCCAAATAATAGCTTATTTCAGCCAATATGGAAAGATGAATAGGTAGGGCCAGTTTGGGGCCCAATCAATTTCACCTTGTGGAAAATTCCTGAGTAATCCAACTACTAAACCTAACATCCACCCATCCATCCATATATGCATATACATATGATTCATGTATGGGTTTGCTAGTCAAGTCAAATGGAGAATATAAATCAGTTTGGAATGGTGGCCATGGGCTATAACTGTGCACTGATGCAAGTATGTGTATATACCACACATGTATGGACGGTGCCAACTGGCTCAATTGGTAAAGGTAAGGTCTCTAGCTGGTTGCAGCGGAGTTTGGGATCAAACCTCACTGTCACCAGGGTTTGGGAAGGGGGGGGAGTATGGGTAAGGGGGACAGCCTACCCCCTTTGTGCGTGTGGGGTTCTCAGTTGCATCATCCCTCTAGGATAGGTCATGTAGAGAAGAGCTCTAATGAACCTGATCAGAACTCAGGTCCATTAGAGAGGTGGGGTGGGGGAGGCAGTAGCAATAGCACATCAAAGAAAGAAACAAGAATCCACCTTTTTCAGGGGAAGGTAAGAAAAGAAGAGCTTACCTTATATTTTCATCCACTTGTTTGTCTTTAATAATCTCTGCAACTTTCTCAATACCATGACATGCCTCAAAATCCTGAGAAAATGGAATAACCAAACTAGATCCATAAATCATAAAAGCATGAGTAGAAACATAGAAATTAACAATACAAATAGGAGAGGAGGTATAAAAGGGTTAACTGCATTTACCACTAAAAAGGTTATTGAAATTTTACTTTGATTTGATTTGAGGTAATGTCAAAAACTTCTGTTGTCCAGTGAGGGCAGATAAGCATATAAGTTTGGATACTAGCTGCTACAGTTGTTCAGTCAAAACCAAGCATAAAGAAAGGATATTTTTTTCTTTCTATCTACCTTTTTTTCTTTTTTAGGAAAGGAAGAAATTATCGAGGAATGCTAGTAAGTAACGAGTTTATGCAACTCTTGGATTTCTTCACCCCAAAGACAAGGGTTGTGTTTGGTACCATTGCCACTTCTAATTGCAATGTTTTAGGTTGGTCAATACAAATTTTTGAGAAATTGTATTGTTCCATCACATCAGATAACCACTTCCACTAAAAAAAATATAAACATTGGATTGGGTGTTGGAATTTATAGTAAAAACATCAAATTTGATGTTTCATGAAGAAACAGCAAGGTACCGAGTGTTGTATTGATAACTCAAAGAATTTGTGGTAGAAAAAAATATATTCTCATAAAATTTGTATTGACTCACTAACCTAAAACGTTGCAAGTGGGAGTGGCAATGGTACCAAACACAACCAAGGTGGACGCATGAAAAGATCTGCTTAATTTTGTCTTACAGTGTGTCTTTTCATGAGCCCAACTCCCATCATGTCTGTAGGTTCAGGTATCCAAGAGTTGCATAAATACGTTACTTACTAGCATTCCTCAAAATTATTATTAAGAGGGAAGAGAAATAGGAAAAGAAAATAACAAATGTCCCAGTTTAGAGTCAAATCTCCACAAAGAGCATCTTTATGCTCACTGAATATAGGTTATTTGCAAAGTTCACACTGCTAAATAACTAGCTGTATATGACAGGAAATCACAAAGTAGGGAAACCCTCATTAATGATGAGAAAAGGTATGTGAACTTTGCACATTCAATAGTTCAATGATGAGATTTGATGGTATGGCCAATTTTATTACTAAAGCCAATGCTTTATATTTTTTTAACATTTAGTATGGGTTTACTTCTTATTTTTAATTAGTAAATCTAGGGCAAGGACTCTGACTTCATTTGCACTTACACTTGGAACATTAATATTGCTGAGGAGGTTAGCATACAATCTTTACATCTTGTTCTAATGAAGTCTCAAAATATGGATTTTAGTATAAGCAAAAGGGAACTTCTTAGGCCTGGGGCCAGAGAACCCATTGTTGGGATTGGAGCATCTAAAATTTGTTATTTTCCAACATTTCAAGGATCAGGATGATCCAAGGGTGCAACTTGGGTGGATCTGGGTTGAGCATTAGGTGAATTCTCTAAGAGCCCCAGTTGGGCCTAGGGACCAGATCTGATGCAGTCAACAGTGACTGGTGGGTCCCAACTAAAATGTTGGTTCCAAAAAGATTTTGTTTTTTTTTTGAGGAATCGAGAATAAATTTCATTAAAATGAAAAAAAGAAGTACATCTCAAACATAGTGGTTGTCAAATTGACAGACCAATGACATATCTGATCATATGTCATTTAGCCACTTTTTTGAACATTATTGAAAAAGTTAATTTTTGTATGCCTGGAAACAACTTTTTCCCAAAATCAAATGACTATTTTGAACTGTGCAAGTTGTTTTTTCAGCACAACTAATTTCTTAGGTTGGATCCATCAGACTGCAGATCCCAATCCTTGAATATTGCACACATGACAAGTTATGGGGACAAATGTGACCAGATCCATTTACAAGCACTGCATCTCCAGACCAAAGATGTTGCCTAAAATGCATGAACAGAAAACATTATAAATGATATTTGCTTAAAAAGGTTGAAGGTCAAGCAGTAGAGGAATGGTAAAGGCAGCACATGTTAGCAGATGTCATGTCATGAGGCAAGCAGTAAAAAATGCCATTACTCAATGTTGGTCCCAGCTATCTAGGGTTTTGGGAGGGGTAGACTGGATATGATCCTAACCTTTGGCATTTTTTATGCAAAGTGGCCACTCTCAGACTTGAACTCACACTCTTGTACTTGCCAGCCTAAGATGAACTATTATTTTTATTATTAATTTTTTTTTATCAGTAACAATGACTTATCATTAATAGTAGTGAAAGAAAATTAAACATCAGGCCACAACCAGCCCAACCCCGAAGAAAAAATTACAATACTGCCCGATACATCTCATTTCTAGTGACCCAAGAATGAAGCTTCTACTTCCCTAGCAATACACCCAATCTCCCTCAAGGCCTCTCTCTATGTGTCCACAGACCTAGGCTTCCCTTTTGCATCCAAGAAATTACCAACATAGAGTCCCCTTCAACCTCTCGCCATCTGAGATTTAATTGCTTTACTAGTCCTAACCCATACAAAAGGGACATAATTTCTACATGTAGGGAGTCTCCCGGCCCTAATGGTCCTGAATATAGGGCCTTTATCAAGCCACCCTGGTCCTAAAACTAAACAATATTATTGTAAGTGATATTAGCTGGCATATTATATATTTGATCTATGAAACTTTAGCTTTAGAAAATCCACTTCATTTATGCAAGAGCAAGGCTGTTAGAGGCTTAGAGCACATATAGCCAGCAAGGATTTAATGACCTACAAGCCATGCACTGATAAAGCTATTAATGCTCTATAGTCTTGATAAGTTGATATATTCAGAATAGTTTAACAAGGTTTTAGGAACCTATATTCAATTGCTTCTACAATAATGCACATTGGATTTTCAATAACGAGATGCCCCAAAGAGAAAACTCAGAAAAGGAAAATTGATTATTGAGGACTTTAAGGAAATCAATCATGGATGAAAAGAAATCACTCAAGCTTACACCAACTACAATGGGAGTTATAGCCCATGGTTTTAGGAGATACCATACCATCTGATTGGCTGAAGAATCTAACATTATAGAGATTAAAGCATCCAAGCAGGGTCCTTGGACAAGCAATCCTCGAGTTGATAATATATTCATCAGAACCTGGAAATGATCAAGTTATTTTAGCCCAAGCTCTATAATCGACATGCCATGAGTAGATTTCATCACAGAATAAAGTTGAACCATGCTAAACTTCAATTCAGAAGCTTCAATGATGCAGTAAACCAGTAAAAAAAAGGGGGAAAAAATAGCAGCCTGAGAAGAGGAGTTATTAAATAACTCATAGATATCTTGATCAGATTGGTGGCCCAAATGGCCAGATAAAAACTTGCGTCCTGTTCAGACATAAAGTAAATATCCATACTTAGAAATACAGACTTGTATATCCGATAAAAAGCGCAGGAAAATATCAAAAACAAATAGTGATGAATATGTTTGCAAGAACAAATGCAGTGATTATTTACTGTGGCTGGTAAGAACATCATGACATTTTTTATCCAATTAATATTGCACTTCACATAGTGATATTAATAACACTCAATCACCAACAAAACTAAGCCACAAGCGATGGGGAGAACTATTATTAAAATGATAAGAAACTCTATTGAATTGTGGATACCTTGATTGCTTTATGTTTATGAGCCAAAGCTGTATTGTCCCGGTAGAGTAGACAACAACCTTCTAAAACTCTAAGAGCAAGTGCAATTTCAGTGTCTGTGGAAGGACTAGTTATCTTCACGGGTTCCAAGCTGAATATATCATCCAAATTGGGGAATTGGTCATCTCTTGATAGCTTCAAGGAATTCTGGAACAGAACAGGAACCACTGTTATAGAGCATAAAATTCCAACATTAGACATTTGAATCCCAATAGAAGCACCGCGTTTTGTGTAAAGCAAAAGCGTAGAGCATCTATACAATGTCAAATTATAAACTCCCGACTTTACATGTATCTTGTATGTTTAACCATCGACCATATTGGCCCTTAATCACCAAAGATCAATGAAAAACAAATACACAATGGCACTTAAAATGATGGGTTTGGATTGAAATTAAAATCACTATGTGATAAGCAATCTGCAAGGTCTGTAACACCCTATAACCAACACTGTGTCTGGCTAAATAAGGTAGTTTTAACAAAAGTTGTGGCGAGATATGAATTAGATTTTACACAGAACCAACTCAAATAAAGTTATGAATCTGATATTGTCCCTTGAACGCCCTGGATCCGAAGAAATGAATGAAGGGGATAAATTTCTGGAAAAAAAAAAGAAATAGAATAAAGAAAATGAAACCTTGGAGTTCTGTAAGAGATTGGCTGTGGCAGAAGAGGCAAATCGTCGAGTCAGATTCGGCTACAGATCTGAGGAACTTGAGAATGTTGCGAAGGCCACGAACTCGGAGGAACGAGAACTCAGCACGAGCGTCTCTCAACCCTGTCCGAAGGGCGAGGGTGACCTCCCTGTAAATTCTCTGCGTGTTCAGAGAATTAACCAACTCTTCAACTGCCGAAGTCGCAGATGAGGATTGAGACTGAGATTCAGAGCTCAAACCCTCTGCTTGCCACAGTGGTTTCTTCAGATACATCTCGTTCTCCTTACGTTCTTCTAGCCCTCTCCTCTCTGTCCCTCTCTCGTTTTTCTTGTTTTTATTTTTGGTTTTACGCAGCACACAGAGGAGAACGCTTCTGGACAGTCCGTTACCCGCTCCATGTTCCGAACTCGAACTCTTCTTCCTTCCGTCAATTGGGCTGGGCCGTTCTTTAAGCTCAGTTTGGGAAAGATTGGAAAAGAGTACAAATACAAAGTTCAAAATCTTGTATATTGTATTTCTAAATCTTTTATGTATATCATACATATTTGTATTTGCATTCTTCGCAAATTACCCTCCAAACTGAGCCTAATATATACAGTGCAAAACCACCCTGTATTTACACTGTATATATTTACATCTTACTCTTACCAACCAAACTGAACCTTTGTTCCATTGAGATGGACTGATTCCCCTCTTGTAACTTTTTGGTAAAATCTAAAAACCTCCATGAGGTTTTTGATAATGATAAAAACCTCTCTTTAAGTTTTACTTTGGCAAAAACCTCCCCTGACCTTTTGAAAATTTCAACACAAATCTCTCTTCCGTGACTAACCGAGACAGAAAACATTTGACTGATGCATTATTTTTTCAAAATACCTATTTTAACTTTTTGTATATAATTTTACATAGAATTTAAAAAGAAAAACTTTTAACTTGAATAATCCATTTGTATTTCCTCCTGTCTCTGAAATTCAATGGAGTCAAAGAAGAAAGACAGCATTCAACCACTGGCCCACCGTAGGAGATCAACTTCAGTCAGTGCAAGGCCTGTTCGAACATCATACGAACAGTCTTTACAGTTTTGCTTCGGGAACATCTCTTTACTTCTATGCTTTATTTCATGGGAAGATATTCCCAATGTAAGGCTATAATGACTGTTCGGACAAACTTTGCACTAACTAAATCCTGGTTTCCCACTGTAGACTTTCCCACTTGATATGTAGTGTGCTCACTTCTCGAAGTTTTCAGACTTGATGGTGCCTGAGAGGTTGGAATTGGTGTTAACACTCCAAGGTTGCCTCAACCTTTCTTAGGCTCGATTGGCAAGATTGAGCATGTGCTCAGTGATAGGAAGAAGTCACACCTAGGGATGGCAATTTTCCCTATCCCTAACAAGGACCTGATTTCCCCGACCCGATGGGGTTGGGGATGGGGATTGAAGTCCCCGCTCCCCGCCCCACTCCAACCCCAATTATATATGTATATATATGTATGTATATATATATATATATATTAAATACATATTATTATATATATATCCAAACATATTTAAAACATTATTTATAATTTAAATTTTTTATTTATTTTAAGTAAATTTATTTTTCAAAAATTACTATTATTTAAAAAAATTTGGGCATTCAGGTCTCTGTGGAGGAACCCGTCCCTGTTGAGGAACAGGGATCGAAGACGGGGATAAGGATAAATTTCAAAATTAAAATCAGGGATGGAGAATATGATCCCCACCCCTAACCTGCTCCGTTGCCATTCCTAATCACACCTTCTAAACTTAATACCTATTTACCACTATTCCAAGAACCAAAGTCTTCTCCAGTTCTTCTATTTAACTCTCCTTCGACTCACAAGCCAAGGAGGTCGAGAAAAAATAAAATGGTATTCAAGCTTCAAGCTTTTACAGCTTTCTAACGTGTCAAGGCAATTTTCTGTGAGAGCAAACGAATTTTTCCATGGGTCTTATTTGAATTTTTCCAATCTTCTTATTGCAAGGTTTTCATGACTTGGACTTCTTTTTTTGGAATCGTTTGGTTACAAAGAGTTGTTTGCAGTAGAGAATCTTTTAATTTTAAGTCACATCGATCCAAATGCTTGTATGCTGATAGTCTGAGGAACCCAACTCTTAAAACCGTTCTTAGACCAGGGTAGGTTATAGAGAGTTGTTTCCCCTGATTTCAACTACATCTTCAATGAATGCTGAAGTTTAGTTCAATCACCTAAGCTAGGGGAATGTTAATCCTAGGTAGGTTTCCCTTGGTCAGAAGCTCTCCAATTTGCTTAGGCTCGCACTCCTGTACAACTATAGTGGAATTTAAATAGATCATTTTTGAAAAATGTCATAGGAGCATGTAGACCTTGATCTTGAAACTGGGCATTGGAGTCAGTTGAACAATGTTGTTTTGGTATGTATTTGGTATAGCTTTCGTTTATTAAATAAATGTTTATATTTAATTTATCTTTAAAACCAAGAAAAATACTTGATAAACTGTTTATTGACAAGTAAATGCCATTAAACGTCACATCAATGAAACAGTAAATAAACACCATTTGGGAAAGTATTAAAATGAAGCTTCTCCCAACAATTAATGTGCACATAAATCAAAACTCATTTTTGTAAATATCAATGCATACGAATGAACATGATGAGATTGACATGGTGACTTTTTGATAAATATCTATTACAAAATGTCCACAAAACAAAACACACACTTGATTTTTGACAAAATGCACCCATTACTTTGCATGTTCATTAAAGAATTTACAATCACCTTCAATGGAAATGAATGGGGCCACAATGGGCCTTACCTAGTTCCAAGGGTTGTTTCAAGAGTGAGAGAGAGACCTGGCTGTAATTTCACAATGTTGCCACCACCTGCATTTTATCCGGTTGATTGGAGTAGGGTCCGAAGCTTCAAATGGCGGAGTCCTCTACGGTAATGAAGTCTGAACTTATGGCCCTATAGGTTTGCACACCTTCCCCATGGCATGAATCTGAAATTGATGGATTTTCAGGGGTTGGGAGATTGAAAGTGAAAAAGGGCAGCAAATGGGTTATTCAAGTTAAAGCTTGTTTTATGATTATTTTAGTAAAATTTTATGTTAAATCATATACAAAAGGATAAAATGGGTATTTTAAAAAATAATACATCAATCAAATGTTTGGGGGGGGGGGATTTTATTAAAGTGAAACTTGAAGGGAGATTTTTATGATTATCAGAAACCTTAGGGGAGGTTTTTATATTTTACCCTAACTTTTAAGTGCTTATACCCAGAACAGTCAAAATGGGCGTTTGGCAAAAAAAAAAGAAAAAATCCCAATAAAATATTTTTCACCGAAATAAGCCCATTTTGAAGAAGCCGAAATTTTGGGTTTTTATTCTTTTTGGTCTGTCCTTTTTTGCTCAAAATACCTATGCTACCCTGTATTTGAAATAAACATTTTTTCACCAAACACTTGCAAACTGCTTATTTAATAAGCAATTATTTGAATATTCCCAAACATTGGCTAAATATTTTCGCGGTGAATAAAAAAAGGTTAATCAATAAATGTCTGTTTAATAATGGCTGAAGTAGCTGAATTGAATGACTCATTCACTTGTTATTTAGTTGTGCTTGGCTTGAAGAAAAAAAAAAAAAGGTAGGAAAAAGGAGAAAAGGGTAGGAGAACCTATAAAATTATTGAGTAATTCGGGCACTACTAATGATTGAATGTGGCAGGAATTCAACATGGGCAAGCTTAGATTGGGCTTTTATCAAAATTTGAATGGACCTGAGCCGAAAGAAGCATAAAATGCTAACTTGGGCCAATCCAAATTGCAGTTGCAGCCTAATGAATGGCGTGTTTCAGATATTGCTGTATTGCTGTATTCTTTTTTTTCCTAATCTTAATTCTTAGGAAAAATCTATAATACAGAAAAGATATGGTATAGAAAGAATTTTGACCAATAAAAAATTACACAGAATTGTAGTCGGTAGTAGTTTCATATTTGATAATTGAGAAATTATATAAGGTCTGTGACAACCAATAAAATCTGAGTCCAAATCTGAAAAGTTCTGATTTTGCTTTTCTTTTCTGCCTTACCGGATCTAGATTCATAATTGAGTGGATTCACAATCAGGGTGCAAATCCAATCCATCCAACCCTCTTATCCTGCAAAGTGGGCTTGATCCAAATATACATTAATCCATTTCTAATTGATTGAAAATCTATTAAGTATAAATGTTTTCAATGAGTCGAATCCGGTTCAAGATAGGCTGTACCAGTCTATTGATTGAAAATCTATTAAGTGTAAATGTTTTCAATGGGTCGAATCCGGTTCAAGACTTTTGTACCAGTCTTAAACTGATTAGTAATTAGCTCTATATTGCAGATCCAAAAATGGTTTTATTTATTATTAATCGGGACAATCAGGTCCAATTATACTTGAGATCTATAATTATCTTTCATATATAATAGTAATATAAAATTTTGGTGGTATTTGGCAAGTTTTTTTACGTGGTTTTTAGGACTTCAATAAATTTGAAAGACCGAAAATCAATCTTTTTTTAGTTTGTTAATCAAAAGCTGAAAATATGAGAAGATGTGTGCATAAAAAGATTCAAAAGCCAAATTTCAGGAAATTTCAAATGAAGCTTTATAGTCTTTTTGTGTGATAGATAGCCTCTAAATGCATTTTTAAAAGTATGATAGACCGATCCTCTTACCAAACAGTTTTATCTTTAGATACAATACCGCTTAATATGTCTTTTGATCATTTGGGTTGTTGGAAGATCTTTTTAAAAAGATTTACCAAATGACTCCTTTATTTTTGATAATATAACCTTAATAAAAATGATAGAGGATAATACTTTTTATCAAGGTTTTAAAAATCAAATTGTAAACGGAACCATTCTAGTCACCGTTTTCCGGTTCAGCAGTTCAACTGTCTGGGTCGAACGATTTGACCCATGACGTCATAAATAAAATAAAAACAAAAAAATATTTATAAATAATGAAAAAAATCATAATAATTAAATAAATACAAGGAAAAATTTAGAAAAAAACATCATATGAAAAACTATATATATATATATATATATAATGAATCAAATGCAGAAAATACAGAAAATTGGATATATTATACCGTCACCGCCGCCGGTAATGGTGGTGTGGTCTGATCACCTGTGATTAAAACCGTTGCTGCAACTAAAGACTCATCGACGAAGAAAAAAATTCCAAAATCGTCGGTATATATGTCACCGCTGCAAAACCATCGCTCGTCGTCGTAGGTCGATGTAGGTTTCAATACGTCTTCAGATGTCATCGAAGGTCGGAGGTAGATGGGGCCTCAACTGCTTGACGGCTCAAGTGAGG